TTGGGAATTTGGAATTCCCAGATCATCGCTTCCCAGCCCTATGGCAAATCCGTGGACTGGTGGTCGTTCGGTGTCCTGCTCTACGAGATGCTGGCAGGGCAGGTGAGCTCACCTGGGAAATTTGGGAATTTGGGAATTTTGGGGAATTTTGGGGAATTTGGAGAACTTGGGGAATTTTTGGGAATTTTTGGGTGAATTTCGGGTGAATTTTGTGAATATTTTGGGATATTTTTGGGGTCATTTTGGGAATATTTTTGGGTTAATTTTGGTTTAACTTCGGGATAATTTCATGAATATTTTGGGATATTTTCGTTTCCATTCTGGGATCATTTTGGGATATTTTTGGGTTTATTTTGGGATCATTTTGGGTTCACTTTGGGATATTTTTCTTTCCGTTTTGGGATCGTTTTGGGATATTTTTGGGTTGATTTTGGGATATTTTTGAGATTATTTTGGGATCATTTTGGGAAATTTTTGGTACATTTTTGGGTTAATTTTGGGATATTTTTTGGGTTCATTTTGGGATCGTTCTGGGATATTTTTGGGATATTTTTGTTTCCATTTTGGGTTCATTTTGGGATAGTTTTATTTCCATTTTGGGATCATTCTGGGTTAATTTTGGGATATTTTTGGGTTCATTTTGGGATCATTTTGGGATATTTTTAGGATATTTTTGTTTCCTTTCTGGGATGATTTTGGGATATTTTTGGGATCATTTGGGGATGATTTTGGGATATTTTTTTGGACATTTTTGGGGTTCATTCTAGGATCATTTGGGGATATTTTGGGGATGATTTTGGGATATTTTTGGGGATCGCTCTGGGATATTTTGGGGATGATTTTGGGGATGATTTTGGGATCACTCTGGGATCATTCTGGGATGATTTTGGGATATTTTGGGGATGATTTTGGGATATTTCCCTCTCCACTCTGGGCTGATGCTGGGGCTCTCCGTGCCCTGGCAGCCCCCGTTTGATGGTGAGGATGAGGATGAGCTGTTCCAGTCCATCCTGGAGCACACGGTGACCTACCCCAAAGCCCTGAGCCGAGAGGCCGTGGCCATCTGCAAAGGGGTGAGAACCCCAAAAAAACCCCCCAAAATCCCAAATCCCCCAGGGAAACCAAAATCTGAAAATCCCCACCAAAAAAAAAGTTTTAGCCCCGATTTGTCCCCTTTTTTTCCTTTTTTTTCCTTTTTTTTTTCCTTTTTTTTCCTTTTTTTTTTTCCTTTTTCCCCCCATTTTTTCTTGTTTTTTTTCACTTTTTTTCCCTTTTTTTTTTTCCAATTTTTCCCCCATTTTTTCCTGGTTGTTTTTTTTTTTTCCACTATTTTCCCCCTATTGTTTTCCATTTTTTTTCTCCCATGTTTTTTTGGTTTTTTTTTTTTTTTCCGGATTTTTCCCTTTTTTCCCAATTTTTTTTCCTTTTTTTTCCCCATTTTGTCTTGCTTTTTTTTTCACTATTTTCCCCTTTTTTTTTCCAATTTTACCCCCATTTTTTCCTGTTTTTTTTCCCCTATTTCCTCTTTTATTTCCCAATTTTTCCCCCCATTTTTTCTTCGTTTTTTTGTCTGATTTTTCCCTTTTTTTCCCCATTTTTTTTCTCTCTTTTCCCCCATTTTTTCCTATTTTTTTTCCCTTATTTTCCTTTTTTCCCTCCTATTTTCCACCTATTTTTTTCCAATTTTTCCCCTTCCCTCCCTCATTTTTTCCTGGTTTTTTTTTTCCTTTTTCCCCCTTTTTTATTTTTTTCCTGAAATTCTAAATTTCCCCGAAATTTCCCCGGAATTCCCTGGAAATTCCCTCCTCCCATCCCCGTTTTCCTCCTGAATTTCCCATTTTTTCCCCCCTCTCCTTTTCCTTCTCCCTTTCCCCGATTTCCTCGGGGTTTTTTTTTTGTTCCCGAGGGAATTCCGGGCATTTTTTTTTGGGAATTTTTTCCCGGCAGTTCCTGACCAAGCACCCCGGGAAGCGGCTGGGGGCGGGCCCGGGGGGGGAGCAGGAAATCCGGGCTCATCCCTTTTTCCGCCGCACGGATTGGGAGCGCCTGGAGCGCCTGGAGGTGCCGCCCCCCTTCACCCCCCGCCCGGTGAGTCACCCCCAAAAACACCCCGAAAATCACCCCAAAACACCCCAAAAAATTATCCAAAAACATCCCCGAAAACATCCCGAAAACACCCCAAAAACACCCCGAAAACTGCCCCAAAACACCCCAAAAAAACCCCGAAAACACCCCGAAAAACACCAAAAAAACACCCCAAAAAACTGCCCGAAAACACCCCAAAAAATTATCCAAAAACATCCCCGAAAACACCCCAAAAACATCCCAAAAAATCACCCCAAAAACACACCAAAAAAACCCCAAAAAACTGCCCGAAATTACCCCAAAAACTGCCCGAAATTACCCCAAAACCACCCCGAAATTACCCCAAAAATTACCCAAAAAACACCCCAAAAACACCCCAAAAAATTACCCCAAAAACATCCCGAAAACACCCTAAAAAAAACCCCAAAAACTGCCCGAAATTACCCAAAAAAATTACCCAAAAACATCCCCAAAAACTGCCCGAAAACACCCCGAAATTACCCCAAAAAATCATTCAAAAATCACCTCGAAACACCCCAAAAATCACCCCAAAAATACCCCAGAAATCACCCCGAAAACTCCCCAAAAAATTACCCCGAAATCACCCCAAAAAAA